CAGCATAGAGAAAGATTCATTCTTCTCGGGGAGGAACAATCCAGCCTAAGAATTGTAATCCTGGCTTACCACAGTGAAACCCAGTACCAACCAGAGCTCCATACTCTTACACCCAGGCCAGTGCCTATGAATGGAGCCTCTGAACCCACTCTAGACTGACCACCATGGATCTGCCTCCACCTTTCCTTGCCACAACCTTGGACAGCACAGAGTAGAGAAAGACTCCATCTGCTGGGAAAGAGGAGAGGTAAGTACAAGATTTTGTCTTGGGATTAAGCATCAAGTCCGTACAACCCTACATCTGGTAGATTCCAGTGTCCCCTGTTTCCAGGGAAGTGCCCCTGGATAGAGCCTCTGGACTGGTTCCAGTGCCAGGTGGATACCCATGGCTCCAGTAGAACTAACTTGTATTCTGGTTAGCATTACTAGATTGGAGGGATGAGAGAAATATGTTGACAAATAGAGACTTTTAGTGTCTAGGAAAGATTGATTCCTTCCTCCCTTCCTCCCTCCTTCCCTCCCTCCCTTTCCCTCTTTTCCTCCCTCCCTTTCTTTCTCTCTCTCTTCCTGCCCTCTTTTCTTTCTACTGGTAGAGATTTCACCAAGTTAAAAACTTAGGGTCAAGAGCTAACTGAATGGAAAAGGATGAATACACCTAAGAGGAAAGGAATACTTGATATTTTAACATTCCTGAGGAGGTGAAAGGGAGATGATACTCAGGACGCGAAGGAAATGGCTTTATGGAAGAGACGAGATAGCTTCTGTTATGCTTTGAATGTGAGGTGTCACCCAAAAGCTCATGTGTGACAAAGCAAGAAGATTTAGAGGAGAAATGATTGGGTTATGACAGCCTTAACCCAATCAATGAATGGATCCCCTGATGGAATTAACTGTGGCTGGAGGAGGTGGGTCATTGGGGGCTGCCTTTGGGGTATACATCTGATATCTGGCAAGTGGAATCTCTCTCTGCTTCCTGATCATCCAATGAGCTGCCTCCTTCCCCCATATTGTTCCACCATGATATTCAGCCTCACATTGAATTTTGAGGAATGGAGCTTTCGGTCTGTGGATTGAGACCTCTGACACTGTGAGCCCCCAAATAAACTGTTCCTCCTCTACAGTGAAAATGTAAGTGGGGTCATATGAAATATGACCACATGGAATTTGAAGTATTTTGTTCTGATGGCTTTTAATTTTCTATATACCATTGTTGGTCATTACAGTTGGGCATTACATTAGGGGCTTTATAGAAATAATTTAATTTTCAAACTATCCTATCGTAACAATTCTCATTTTGCTTTTGAGAAACCTGAAGCTTAGGTTAGAAACTTGCTCACAGTTTTGACCTAACAAATGATAGAACCAATAGTTACAATCATATCTATTTGACTACAAAGACTATGTATAGAGTGGATTGGATGCATACAAAGAATATATCAAAGGAGAAAAATCAATGTCTTGTGAATAATTATTTATAAGAGATGAGGATAATCACATAAGATAACAATTTTCATGTGTTGATTCTTAGGCAGTGTCAGAAAGACAGGAATATTAGAGAGAAAGATATAATTTTGGATTTGGGTCAAGTTCAACCTGAATTCATAAAAGTAGAGTGGAATGATGGTTGCCAGTGAGAGGGGAAGTGGAAAGTGGGAATGGGGAGATTTTGGTCAAAGGGTATGAAGTTTGAGTTAGGCAGATGAAACGTTATGGTGTAGCATGCTGACTATAGTTAATTACACTGAATTGCATACTTGATATTTGCTAAGAGAGTAGATCTTAAATGTTCATGCTAAATGATAACTATATGAAGTGGTGAATATGTTATACAAATTAATTTGATTGTGATAATTATTTCATAATTGCTATGGCTTGGATATGGTTTGAGGGTGTTCCCCAAGGCTTCATGGGTTGAAATTGACTCCCCATTGTGAGATACTAACAGGGTGGGACTATTCAAGTACAGAGTCCATAGGTGGGGCCTTTGGAAAGTGATTAGGATTAGATAAATTCCTAGGAATAGTGCCTCCATGACTGACTCCTGGTGCTGTTTAAGAAGAGGTTGAGAGACCAGAAGAGACAATCATACATGTGGGTACTCCCTGTCTCTTGCTACATGATACCTTGTGCTGCCTCAGGACTTTTTGCCACCAAGAAGGCTTTCCTCAGATGTGGCCCCTCAATCTTGGAGAGATCTGTAAGCGAAAATAAACCAACCACTTTTCTTTTCTTTCTTTTTTTTAATTGATTGTTCAAAACATTACAGAGCTCATGATATATCATCTTTCATACCATTGACTCAATTGGGTTTTGAACTCCCATTTTTACCCCAAATACAGATTGCAGAATCACATCTGTTACATACTCACATTTTTACATAATGGCATATTAGTGACTGTTGTATTCTGCTACCTTTCCTATCCCCTGCTATCCCCTCTCCCCTCCCATCTCCTCCCATCTTCCCTCTCTACTTCCTCTGCTGTTGTTCAATTCTCTCCCCTTTTTTCCCTCCCCCTTGCCCCTCATAACCTCTTATAATTTTGTGTATCATTGAAAGTCTCCTACCATTTCCATATGCTTTCTCTTCTTTCTCCCTTTCTCTCCCCCCATTCCTCTTTGTTTACTGTTAGTCTTTTCCTCATGCTCTTCCTTCCTGTTCTGTTCTTAGTTGCTCTCTTTATATCAAAGAAGACATTTGGCATTTGTTTTTTAGGGCTTGGCTAGCTTCACTTAGCATAATCTGCTCTAATGCCATCCATTTCCCTGCAAATTCTATGATTTTGTCGTTTCTTAGTGCTGCATAATACTCCATTGTGTATAGATGCCACATTTTTTTTATCCATTCATCTATTGAAGGGCATCTAGTTTAAACCAACCACTTTTCTTTGTAACTTCTCCAGTTTTGTGTCATGTTTTATTAGCCACAGAAAACAGACTATTTCAATAATGTACATATCAAAATACGATGTTATACTCTGTAAGTATATACCATTTTTTTTGTTAATTATACCTCAATAATGCTGGAAAAATAAAGGTTTTCTTTCTCACACACAAATAAATATGGTAAGTTCTTAAATCATCAGAACCTAAATTAGCTTTGATGGTTCACTATCATTAATACTAGTGATCAATATTACAACACATTATAATAAAATATACATATGATATGTACTTAAGAAAAGCTTGTTTTTCATTTTAATCTATGAAATGATTTAGTATGTGTCGGCTTAAGGCAATTATTGATATTATTTCACATGTCCACCAGGAATAAAAGATTCAAGAGGGATCCAGCGCAGTGGTAGAGAGCGTGCTTAGCATACTTGAGGGTTCAGTCTCCAGAACAACAAGGGATTGAGGCAAATTGTTTACATTATTTTTTCTTCACTTTTCACTTCGACATGCAAAATCTAAACATAAATTACCTAGTGATGACAGTTTTAGGCAGAAAATATGCTTTATTTGCAACAACAAATGAGGTAGTCATAAAATGTTTACTAAAACGTGTTTGAATTATGCTTTTCAAAGAAGCAAAATGCTGAATTCAACACTGAATTCTGATTCATGAGTTTCTTATTGTCATGTTAAAGTTAATTTTATTGCTATTCTCCAATTTTTGTCTAAAGCCATTATGTTAGAAGAGGGCTGGATAGTCTTTGAAGTTAACACTTGGTTGCAAGGCAGCGGGAGAGTTGACGACAGACCCCCTGTGTTTTTTTTTTTTGAGTCCTGTCTCACCCAGCACTCACTCCTGTGCTTCTAACTCTTTTAGGCGCCCCGGATGGCGCGATCGCCACCCTGTTCTCGCCGGTAGCGGGATCTCGCTCTTCCACGCGATCTGCTTCCTGCTGCGTGCTCCGCGGGGTCTACCCACGCTGACGCCAGGGGGCGAGGGCAGGACGGGGCTCCAGCCCTTCGAGTTAGGTTTGGGGTCACGTTCCTGGCGACCCGGGCCCTAAGTGGAATTTGGGACCCTAAGGAAAGAGGGTGTGGACGTCAGGGTTTCGAGGGGCCGTTTAGGTGGGTGGGAAAAGGAACCGTGTGTGGTGGTTTCTGAGGAAAGCGGCGGGAGTGGCTGCCTGGCCCTACTCCGGAGAACTACCCGCGACGTGGCGCATCCCGTGGCGGGCGCTTGACGCGCGCGGCGTCGTGGTTGGCTTGTGGTGGGCAGAGGCCGGCAGCGCTGCCTGAGGGGAGGGCAGGCCAGCGAATTCCCGCCGCAAGTCTCGGCTGCGAGCCGCCAGCCGCCCCGCGGGTCTACGGGGAGCCAGAGCTGCGAACCCCGCCTCTGGCGTGTTCCGTACAGCGAGTTGGCTCTCGTGTGATTTTTTTTTTTTAATTATTGGGGGACAAATTGGTAAATGTAAACCTGCACCACTTTTCTAGGTTTCACCTTGCTGTTGGTGAAGGACTTTCACTGCGCAGGGCAGTACACACGCCAAGCAGGGACATATTCAGATATTTATTTTACAGGACACGTCCTTTTGAGAAGTCTAGGTGTCTGGATCCCCGCAGATTCAAAGACTTACAGCAGTACCAGGAATAAACAGTTATGAAGGCGCCCACCCTTGCCCCTAGTCTCAGTCATGCAACAACGTTCAGCAGCTGCCTAAGTGTCTCTTAGGGCTCTATCAGAAGGTGGCTGTGGACTGAAAATGTCTCTTACCCTCTGTCTTGCTCCATCCACATTTTTTTTTTTGTGAGAATGTTATATTTAAAAAGTTGTTACTGAATATACATGTGTATTTTCATTTTATATTCACTTATTTTTTATTTTCTTTACACAGTATCCAAGATGAATGACAGCCTCTTTGTCAGTCTGGACAGACTTTTATTAGAATTTGGTAGGTATAAAATGAAATAAATAGGTAACTGTATTATTATTCGACATTTTAACAATGAAGTAAAGTCACAAGAGAATTGTTTTAGTTTTCCAGTATGAGCAAGATATAAGTACTAAAGAAGACATGATTCAAAGAATTAATAGTAAGTAGTTTTGCATGTTAAAGATGTATTTGTCTTAATTTTTTATGACATATAGCATAATATGTAATTGCCCTGTTTAGGGCAACTTGTAGTTGGCATTGTAACTCTTCTGGAAATTCTCTACTAATTTATTAGTATAAATTCTCTACTAATTCTGGAAATTCTCTACTAATTCTCTCCACTAATAATGAGCTTTTTAGCCTAGGCAAAATAGTTGTGATTCACCTACTGTTTTTCAGTAATTTTGTGTATTCTGCATTTAATTATTTTGTGAAGAATTTTGCTTTAAGCAGCAATGACCCCTAAGGTGCAGTTAAAAAATGTTACATTTCTCAAATAACAAGGTTACTTCAAATTTTATTTGAGTGAAATGTTTCTCTTTAAAGAAATCATCAAAAATTAGGAACCAGGATTGATGCCACATTTTCAGGAATAATAATTCTGAAATAAGTGAATTGGCTAGTAAATATAAGTGAAGTGGCTGGGCAAATTAAATAAATATAATGTTTTAAATATTTTAGTTCTAAAAATATAACTATTAACTTCTTAATTGTCACAGAAAGATTGAATTTGGTTATTTTTTTCTCAATCAAAAAATAAAGTATTATGAAATTATTTAATATTTTTAAGAACTAAGTTTATCTTAAATCATTGTAAATAAGTTAGTTGATGGTGTATTTAATAATTAATTGATAGAAATTATGTATTTGTCAATAACAAAATACTTATGAGTAAGCATTTGCATGAATTTATAGCATCATAAGATGAATTGACCTTAAGTGTCACCTAATCTAGCCCAGCGGACATTCTTCAATTGCAAATACAAATCCTCCTTAGTTTCTGGGGGGCTGTGGTTTTCTACTTTTTAGTACAGGAGCCTTCCCTTCTCAAGCCTCATTTCCTCTCCTTTCTGGCTGTCCTCCTTTTAGGTAAGTTGCCATAAACTTTTTTTTCTTACTGTATTTGTTTGTTTTGAATTTAAAATTTTTACCTTAAGAAAATAAACATTTCCTCTTTTAGAATGCTTTGAAGACATAAAAGAAAACAAATCAACTATTTGTAAGATACATGAAACTATAAATACAACAGATGAGGAAATTGCTCATTACTGTAAACATAGTAATGAAATCAAAGACAACTGTAGTAAGTGAGTATTTGAAAGAAATGAACCTTCAGTAATTGTCATTTGATTTTTTTATTCAAGATTTCTATGTTTATAGTTGAAGACACCATTGCTTGTTTTGTTTTGGTTTGGGTATTTGGTGTTGGGAGTTGAACTCAGGGTCTTCCTTGTACATGCTGAGCATGTTCTCTACCATTGCCCTAAGTGCTGAATTATGAGATTTCAGTAACTTAGATATAGTTAGTATAAATAAAGAATTTTAGTATAGTCTATCTAAGTCCTATTAGTCTGAAATAATTTGCATTTTTTGACTTTTCAAGATCTTACTGTTTTTGTTTATGTGGTGCTGGGAATCAAATCCAGGACCTTATGCATGATAAGCAAGTGCTACCTTGATATATGATAGACAAGAACCACTGAGCTACACTCTGGCTTAAGATCTTAGTTTGTATAAGGGAATCCAACCTAAAACTTTTCAAGATAAAACACTTCTTTTGAGAAATATCTCTCTAGGTCTTTTGTCCAATTTCTAATCAAGTTATTTCTTTTCTTGCCATTGAATTGTGTGACTTCTACTTCAACCATTTTTATGATAGGAAAATATTGGAAGTAACTCTAAATGTTCAACATTAGGGGACTGGTTAAATGAATTTGGTATATCCAGATGACTGAACACTAGGCAGCCAATAAAATCATGATATAGGTGTATGTTTGACATGGGAAAATGTTAATAGTATATTGCAAATTGAACAAAACATTTTATGCATCATTATTCATAATATGAACCCAATGCATGATAATATATCTATATCTAAGAAAAACCTCAAAGGATGCACATTGAAAAGCTTATAGTGAATATCTTCTCAGTGAGCATATGTTTCTTATGGAATTTTTAAATACTCAGAAAATATGCATGTATAATCTTAGACCTTCAGATTTCCTTTTGGGGAATATATTTTAAGTATCAGAAATTAAGGGGTTAAATTAAATTATATCTCAGTTGGTAGAGTGCTCACCTGGAATGCACAAGGCCTTGGGTTCAATCCCCAGCACCACAAAAAAAAAAAAAAAAAAAAAGGAAGAAAGAAAAGAAATTAAGACAAATATTTAATTATAATTTCAGTAATTTTATGTGAATATGATCTCAGTGATGTTAAAATATATAACTGTAGCAAAATCTTGAAACAATTTTAAAATCGTAGTAGTTATTTAATATTGAGAATATGTATGATAGTTTCTTATGTATACTCTCTGTGCTTCCAAATGGGCATATGTACTTTTTGTTTTTCTTTTTCATTTTGCATATGTACTTTTTGAATTTGGAAAAAAAATGAAAATAGAGAAAATATTCAAACAATACTTAGAATGGAAGCTGCCATGGTATATATAGTAATTTTAGTTTTTTTGTATTGGTAATAGTTTTCAAGTTATATAATAAAACAAAAATATATAAGGTGAATATTCATTTTATTCTATCTGATTTGATAACCTATTTTGGCCTAGTTTCAGCTATGCTATATTTGCTTCTTTCCCTGTCATATCTCAAAAACAAATTTCATGTAAAAATTAATGAATATTAATATTTGAGCATATGAGTGTGTGGATATTGATAGTGATGGGGATAGGATATGCAGTTTTTTTTCTTTTTTAATACTGTTGTATTTATTATTTTAAAAATTGGTTCATATTAATTATACAGAGTAGTAGATTTCATTGTGGCATAGGGAATGTTTTCTTGATGTAAACTTGTTTTCTCTAGGAAGACACATTCATTTCTCTTTAAATGATTTTGTTCATTTTTTATTATCTCTGCCAATTTTTTTTTTGTTTATCATTCTGAAGTGCTAATTACAACTATAACTTTTTTCCATAGCTGGAAGCCAACATGTGATGTTTTTCATAAACATGAAGATTATATGCAGGACCAGTTTACTGTTTATCAAGAAACCATTGAAAAAGACAAGTACAGTATTTATATTAACTTAATAAGTGTATCAGTTCTATAAATTAGTATTACTGGAACATTTTGTAAGAATTTAGAAAGTGTATATTCTGAGGGAATATTTTTTTAAGTAAATGTGATATCTCGGACTGAATCATTGAAAGTCTCCATATTTGTTGTAAAAGCTTGAATATGTTGAGATATTGCCTTAGATATAAACCATTTATCTATCAGCAGCATTTATAGCAAAGTTCTTCAATTAATGGTATTTATGACTAAACAGTGTAGGCAAACATTTAGGAGGATAATTATTTGTAGAATAAACATTTTGAAAAATTTGAGGTATTGGTTTTTTAAAGGTATTTTGTATCAAATTTCAAGTTTTTCAGATTGCTAATTTAGTAAAGTGGTTATATTCTAATGGAGAAATACCAGTAGTTATATGAATTTATTTTACTTTGTGTAAAATCATATCATCTTAGGGATTAAATGTAATTAATGAATGTAATAAAACAAGGTTAGAGACTTTGAACATGATATATATAGCATTAAAATTTTACCTAATTTTAAAAACTGAAGTGATTTGGGGAGAACACTTATCAGTTTTTATATTTTACTTAAGAAACACATATGTTGAAGGCCTTGTGGTGCATACCTATAATCCTAACAAGTTGAAGGTTGAGATAGGAGGATCACTAGTTCAAGGGCAGCTCTAGCAACTTAGTGAGACCCTAAGCAACTTAGCAAGATACTGTCTCAAAAATAAAAAATAAAAAAATAATGCCGGGAATAAAGCTCAGTGGTAAAGCACCCTTGATTTCAGTCCCCAATATCAAACAAACAAACAAAAAAAGCCCTCCTAAAATAACTACCCATGTAAAATCTATAATCCATTATTTTCAAAGATGAGTCTTAAGTTAAAACTAAAGTTTAAAATTGGGACTTAATGGCATTAGAAATCTTGTATGTAGATGAGGTTTCTCAGGAAAATATATGGAGCAAAGTGGAGAAAGGCAAAAGTATGCTATCATCCAAAGAGTAGACAGAGGGTGGAAAAGATGAAGGAGACTATTAGGTTGTCATTTATAGATCCTGCTTCAATCCCAAAAGAATGTGAGATATTTGTATAAAAATACCACAGTGTTTAAAAAAAATAAAGGCTACATGTGGTCCTGCATATTGTTTGTTAAAAGTACAGATTAGGCTTTGAAATTCTTAGTAGTAAAGGCATTGATCAAGAAATATGATCAGAGTATTCATTTAAAAAAATTCAATTAGAGGCTGGGGGTGTGACTCAATGGTAGAACATTTTCCTAGGATGCTCAAGTCCCTGGTTTTAATCCTTAGCAGTTTAGTTGCTTAGGATAAGTTATGAAGTTTTTCCCGAGACTTGAGAGAAATTTCTCTCCTGGGTCTTCAAAAAGGGGAAATTGGGGAGTGTGGTAATATTTTCAGTAAATTCTTTCAAAAAAGTCCCTGTTTTTAATGTTTTTATTAATGCATTAAGTTATACATAATAGTGGTATTCATTTTGACATATTCATAAATGCATATAATTTCCTTCATTTCAACAATCAGTACTGAGGAAGTAGGAAGGAAGTAGGGGCACTAGCTACTTATTTCTGATCTCCCATTCTTGTTCTGAGCAATCATGAAGACTAGTACTGCTAGAATAAATTAGATAATAATGACTTTCTGAATCATGACTTAGCTATGCTGTGTTCTGCCAAAGTTTCTATATGGAAGATGTTAGAAGTGGATATGACTATATAATATGAACAAGATGGAATATGGTATGCTAATCTCATATGAAACAGGTGACCCAGGCCTAATTTTTCAATGGTATTTCTCTTCTCCCTGGACCATTTTCCCAAGTTATTATATAAGTGGGGTCTTAATTAATAAATATACATTTAGAAGAATAGGAACTTATTTGGGGCTCAACTGCTTTATCTTGCTAAAGGGGACAGAGTTTAGCAATACTAAAAAATTAGATCATTCTTAAAATTCAGACTTGTTGACCCAGTACTTGTTAATCATTACTTATGAAACCAGAAGTTTTAAGAATACTTGCTCCTATTCTCTGCTAAGGAGAATAATCATTATAGCATCTTTTAAGAAATTTCTTGATCCAAGAAATAAAATCTTGAGGAATATAAGGACTATATATTTTCAAAAAGTTTACTATGAATATTATTTTTGAAACCAGAATTTGGTAAAAAGAGGATTCAGGAATATATTTTCTGTAGGACTGGGATGTATAGGTCAATGAGTGAGGCTCTCGGTGCAGTCCCTAACTGAGGCTGAGGGTATATTTTCTGTGAAGAACTGTATTGAGTACTTTCAGTGTTATAGATCAGGATTGGCAAACATTTTTTGTAAAATACCAGATAGTAAGTATTGTAGCTCAACTCTACTATGTGGTACAAGATGGCTTTAGGTCATATATAAATAAATGAGATATGATCCAATAAAACCTTATTGGACAGTGAAATTTTAACTTCATATAATTTTATTATGTCATGGAGTATATTTCGAGTTTTTTTCAATAATTTAAAAACCATTCTTAGACAACAGAGGATGGATTAGATTTGGCACATAGGCAGCCTGGGGATGTAGCTCAGTGGTAGAGCACTTGCTTAACATGCAAGGCTCTAGATTCAATCCTCAGTATCTCCTCCCCTACCCCATCACAAAGTTTTGGTACATAGGCAGTAGTAATCAACTCCTTTGTCCATATGGGTCAAATAAGAAAGAAGTCTTAATATTCTTTTGTAAGAATAATGCCTCACTTACGACTTGTGCCTAAATAGATGGTCACCCATTATTAGTTGAGTTGATATAGAAGAGTTCCTCCAAATGGCTCAAATTTTCTTCGTAAGAATACTTGTGGGGTATACATGAATGATTATGAACCCAGAGTTTTAACACATAGAACGTGACTTCATGTAATAATTTCAGCTAAAAAAATTAAAGGAGATTTAAAAGGCATAGTTACAGAGGTCAGAACCCAGGGAGCATAGATATTTAAGAAGGTATAACTGATATTGGCCAAATTATATTGTTATATCCTGTGCATGAATGAATATGTAACAACAAATCCCATCATTATGTACAACTGTAATGCACCAATAAAAAATGTGGGGAAAAAAAGGTGTGACTAAAAGAACCCAGTTCTGCAATGTCATTTAGGATGAACATGAAAAAGAGATCATTTGATTGGACAATTTAGATCATTGATGACCATGGAAAGAATAATGTCATTTTACTGGTGGAAGTGGAAGTTAAATTGAAGAAGATTAACCAGGTGAGGAATAAAAAAAGTATAGCTGAGAAGTGTCTTGAGGTTAAAGAAAGTTGAAGGACAGACAAATAGATGTTTGAATTGCTTTTTATACTTAATTTAAGAGACTTTAACAAGTGATATTTATTAGGTTTTTAGATCTATTCTACATCATTTATTTTTAACAGAAAAATGTATCATGATTATGTATGTCAGTATAAAGAAGTTTTGAAGCAATACCAACTAAAATATTCAGAAACACCCTTTTCACGTGAATATTATGAGAAGAAAAGAGAACATGAAGAAATTCAAAAGAGAGTGTTGGCATGTTCTGAACAACTAAAAATGAATGAAACTATTCTTATGGAATTTCTAGGTATTAACCTTTCTGTAATATGTTGCTTTAATAATTATATCTTTGTACTGAGAAGAATATAATAAATCAGTCTCAACTATGACTTTTTTTCAGTGCCTGCACCCTTTCCATCACTTCTAAAGTGGACATTACACATGTATCCACAATAGTATTTCTGTTTATAATTTTATTAGATAAGTATTGTTTCTGTATTTTAATTATTATTTTGTTTTCCTGATGAGAGCTTCATAGATTTGTTTTTGAGTTTAATTCAGATTTTAAAGGTCACTTTAAGGTCTTTTGGGATTAGTTCTCATGTACATGTGATCAAAAGCAAGTAATTTTAAGGGGAATAAAATTGTATATGTATTTGGCTTTAAAGTGGCATATCAACAATCAAACTAATGAAAATGTCATCTTTGTCTTATCAAAGAAGTTCTGATTAAATTGATTAATTATTACTTGTTATGATAGATGGTGGTAAGGAAGTGAGTCAACAATTATTCACTAAAATTTAAAAATTCATTGGGTACTTACCTTGTGTTAGGCAGTACTGAAGAAATTACAAAGCTCTCTTGCAAGGAGCTCACAGTTTAGTAGAGGAGAAAGACAAATAAAGAATTCTAATACAGTATCACTGTAATAGATGCTTAAGTAATTCTTAATTGGTCTAAGTCTCACCTGTTTGTCAGAGAGATCTTTCCTGATGCTGAACTTGAAACTTTAATCCTCTTTCAACCTCCACAATCCTTTATATGCTTTTCTATCAGATTATAACTCCTATGTTTGTACTAAGTCTTCTTTATCCCTGTATTCTACCTTGCTTCCTTTCTGTTTCATCCTAAACCATTCTTTTATCTCCTCTGTTGCTTTTTATCCTTCATGTTTTGGTTTGAGCCTATTATATTTTTATGAACATTTGTTGTTTATCTATGCATTAACTTCTTAGTGGGAAAGGGCAGAGGTTAGTTGGTAGGTGAAGTACAGAAAGTATAAGGGAGTTGGATATGAGTTGGGATGAGATGTAAAATTGCATGACAAATAAGAAGAGGTAGATGGAGGTAGGAAGAATTAAAGATTAGGATTTAAATATCTATTTCTAAAAATTTAAACTGATGCTTTTGGTAATAACTTAGCTTTATAAATAATATTCATCTGAAATGTTTGTTCTAGCATATAAGTCACATATTTTTAAGGCAGGATAGGAAGTTCTGATAAAATTTCTCTAGAGTTCTTGTTCACTGTTACTCTTCTATTCATTTCTAAATTCTAGATAGATAATAGAGGAACTTAGGTAATTGTGTTAATTAATAACCATTTAGGATTCTATTAATAGCAGATAAATTTTCTACTTGAAATTGAGTCTAAATCCTCTCTAAACAGAATGTCCAGATGAAAGTTCTCAGTTTTACAGGGTGCATTGATGAACCTTATAAGGCAAGAAAAGGGAAATTGGGTGGATTTTTAATGTTGATTTTGGAATAATACATGATGGAAGCATAAAAAGTTAAATTGGGACCTGAATTTATTATATTTTATTAGTCATCCCAATGACACAGTGAACTTAGTTTTAAAAAACCAAATAACATCTTGTGAAAATATTTAACTGAATGAAAAAATTCTAACAAATATTTTTGATGGATGTTACTTTTAAGTTAATAGAGATCAATACTAACTTATCTTCATTAGTCTGCCAAATATTTATATTAATCTTACCTGTTTCAGTAACAGTGCTTATTGCTTATATATACCACATATATAAATGACATTATATAATATTAACTATCTCTGACATAGTACACTTATTTTAAATGTAAAGTTTACTTGCACAGCATAGTTCCTTAACATAAAAAGAGTTAATCTGAGATGTAAAACACAAGATATCCTCAAACATGCCAACAGTTTTACCAAAAGTTCATCTGAATTGAAGAAAGAAGCAGATGAAGCAGAAATGGAAATTAATTCATTAAACAAGGTATATATTTTGTTATTGTTTCTAAAATATGTATTAATGTATAATAGTGTGTTAATTGACACCTTAGAAGAGCTGTTAAGATAGCCTCAATGTGGACAAAGGCCAATTGATAAGCTTTAGATCACTTTGAAGCCAAAATGTATTTCAGGTGTGGAATTTATTTAACTCTGAATTTGAGGGAATAGGTTGGCTTTTGGGAGGGCCTGAGGAAGGATCAAGATGTAGGTTAAGAGGAATTTACTTATTGACTTGTGGTGCAGTAGGTTAAACCCAAGGCCTCATGCATACTAGGCTCTGGGTTTGATCCACTGGTACCTAATACCTCTGGCTCTGTAACAGGAATTTAAAAGCATTGAAAAAGTAACAGTGTTTTCAAAAAGGTAAACAAGATAGTAAATAGTTAAATAATTTAATCTTGTAAAATTTACAACTGTAGTTTATAATTTTTAGGAAGCCAGTCTAGAACCAGTTAAACTTTTAAGGTTTTATTGAATATTTTTAGTATCATCCATTGAATTGTGGCTTTGATTCACATAGATACAAGAACTCATCAAAATCATTTTATAAATTTTGAGAAAATATTGAAAATTAAATTTTATAGTTATAAGGTACAAAATAATATCAATATAATTTTATTTTTTTATAAATATTTGTTTGTTAGTTTTAGGTGGACACATATCTTTATTTTTTTATGTGGTCCTGAGGATCGAACCCAGTGCCTCATGGCATGTTACGCAAGCACTCTACCATTGAGCCACAACCCCAGCGCCCCCAGCAATATAATTTTAATAATGAGAGAAAAATGGATGCTATTTCCTTTAAAATATGTGATAACTATGTCCCTGTATAAATATTCAATGTCTATTTTGCTTATGATTATTCTTTTAAAAAATGGAAATTATTGATATTTATGATTGAAAATTTAGTAGTAAGGAAAAGTTAAAGGGGTATGATTTAATATTGATGTAACTCTTAATGACTTTCAATAGAAGATAGTAAATTCTGCCAAAAATACAAATCTTGTGATTCTACAGAAAAAAATCATATTCATTAATTAAGATAAAACGTTCTTCTTTGCAGGTAATTATTTCATTTTCCTTTCCCATTTTTCTTTTTAGCTGATTGCAAGACTTTATGAAACCAAGAATCTTTCAGAAACTCTTGAAGAAAAGAAAAAAAGTACAGAAAAGAGAAAGGAATTGAAAGAAAGGTATAGGTAAATTTTAAAATTGAATTTTATGTGACCAGAAATTCTGCATCTAAAAGTTTGATTCTGTATTCTATCCTCTTTTTTTTTGTTCTGATTAGTTATACATGACAGCAGAATGCATTTTGTTTCATTGTACACAAATGGAGCACAACTTTTCATTTCTCTGGTTGTACATGATGTAGAGTCACCCATTTGTGCAGTCATATATGTACCCAAGGTAATAATGTCCTCATTCCACCATCTTCCTACCCCCATTCCTGTTCTCCTTCCCTCCCTCCCCTTTGCCCAATCCAAAGTCCCTTCATTCTTTCCATGCCCCCTCCCCTCATTATGGATCAGCATCCACTTATCAGAGAGAATATTCAGCCTTTGGTTTTTGGGGATTGGCTTACTTTGCTTAGCCTGATATTCTCCAACTCCATCCATTTACCTGCAAATACCAGAATTTTATTCTCTTTTAATACTGAGTAATATTCCGTTGTGTATATATACCACAGTTTCTTTATCTGTTCATCTATTGAAAGGCATCCAGATCAGACAGTTTTGCTATTGTGAATTGAGCTGCTATAAAAATTGATGTGACTGTGTCACTATAGTATACTGATCTTAAGTCTTTTGGGTATAGACAGAGGAGTGGGATAGCTGGGTCTAATGGTGGTTCCTTTCGTAATTCTCTGAGGAATCTCCATACTGCTTTCCAGAGTGATTGCACCAATTTGCAACGTACCTTTTCCCCACATCCTCGCCAGCATTTTTGTTGCTTGTATACTTGATAATTGCCATTCGGACTGGAGTAAGATGAAATCTTAGAGTAGTTTTGATTTGCATTTCTCTAATTACTAGAGATATTGAATATTTTTTCATATATTTGTTGATGGATTGTATATCTTCTTCTGATAAGTGTCTATTCAGTTTCATAGACCATTTGTTGATTGGGTTATTTGGGTTTTTTGTTTTTTGTTTTTTTTTTGGTGTTAAGTTTTTTGAGTTCTTTATATATCCTGGAAGTTAGTGCTCTATCTGATGTGTATGTCTAGTAAAGATGTTCTCCCACTCTGTGGGCTCTGTCTTCATGTTATTTATCTTTTCCTTTGATGAGAAGAAGCTGTTTAGTTTGAATCCATTCCATTTATTGATTCTTGATTTTATTTCTTGTGCTTTAGTAGTCTGATCAAGGAAGTCAGGACCTAATCTGACATGATGAAGATTTGGGCCTACTTTTCCTTCTATTAGGCACAGGGTCTCTGGTCTAATTCCTAGGTCCTTGATCCATTTTGAGTTGAGTTTTGTACATGTTGAGAGAGAGGAATTTAATTTCATTTTGCTGCATATGATTTCCAGTTTTCCCAGCATCATGTGTTGAAGAGGCTATCTTTTCTCCAATGTATGTTTTTTACACCTTTGTCATGCAGGCTATCTTCTGTTAATTTCTTATGAAAAATATTAATTTAAGGGGTTGGGGTTGTGGCTCAGTGGTAGAGCGCTCGCCTAGCACGTGTGGGGCCCTGGGTTCGATCCTCAGCACCACATAAAAAATAAATAAATTAAAAAAACCTATTGTATCCAACTATAACTAAAAAATAAAATATTTTTAAAAATATTAATTTAAATGTTATGAACTATTATTATTTAGTATTCTTTAGTGAGACTGAGGATATTATAATTGTAGAGGGAGAGACGGTAGCAACAGTACATCTGATGCACAATCCACCTTTTTATCATCTTGTCACCAACTTGTTTAGTTCTTTCTTTATCATGGAGAGTGTAGATGAGCCTATAATTGTGACTTAATCCATGACGTCATATGTTTCCTTGTTTTTCTGTCCTGTTTTTTGATAAAATAGACCTTAGTGGTGGAAGTATGAAGAAAAAGTCATTAATTTTTCTCTTACAGAAAAATAGATGTGTTACTCTTGCTGTTTCTGATCTACTTGCTATTTTTTTTTCTTTTTGCCTGTGCCCTTTTTTCATTCTAAATTTCCATTCCTCAGTCTTCATTGCCTTTGTGTTGATTTTTCAACACACTCTTCTCGAGTTTATTTCCCTGAACCCACTTCCTTGGATCTGTTATTTGCTTGACCTCCTCCCCAACATGTTGCACTCCCACATATCATGTCTATGGCAGTGTGTATTTAGTTTTATGATGAAATTGATTTTAAAAAATAGGCAAACATACAGAATTTTGCTTTGCCAACAATGTTTTAACATAAAATTCTGTATATTGAGAGGAACTTATATAAATATTTAGTCATTTTTTACTCAGTGTATACAGTAGCACCCCCTTATCCATGGTTTTGCTTTCCATGATTTCAATTACCTGTAGTCAACCATGATCCAGAAATATTAGATAGAAAATTCTGGAAATAAACAATTAAATTGCATGCTGTTCTGAATAGTCTGATGAAATTTCATGCCATTGTACTCTGTCCTACCTGGGATGTGAATCATCACTTTGTTCAGTATGTCTAAACTGTATACATTACCTGCCTGTTACTTACTTAGTGGCCATTTCAATTATCCCATTGAATGTTATATTATCATGGCGCTGGTGTTCAAGTAACCCTTATTTTACTTAAAAATGACCCCAAAGTGAAAGATTATGATGCTGGCAATTTGGATATGTCGAATAGAAGCTGTAAAATGCTTTATTTAAATGAAAAGGTGAAAGTTCTTAACATAAGGGGAAAAAACAGTTATATGCTTAGGATGCCAAGATCTGTGATTAGATTTATCTGTCCATGAAATTGTGAAGAAGGAAGAATAAATTTATGCTAGTTTTGCTATCATACCTCACACTGCAAAAGTTAGGCCATAGCTGAGTGTGGGGGTGCTGCCTTGGGAGACTAAGATAGGAGGATTGCAAGTTGGAGACCAGCCTCAGCAACTTAGGCCCTAAGCAGCTTAGAGATAACTTGTCTCAAAATTTAAAAAATAAATAAAAAGGACTGGAGATGTAGCTCAGTGATTAAGTACTCCTGGGTTAAATCCACCAAGGAGGGAAAAAAGCTACAATGTGTAATAAGTGCTTGCTTAGTTAAGATGGAAAAGGTGTTAAATTTGTCTATGTATGTATAGGGAAAACTATGGTATATGTAAAGTTTGGTACTGGGGAACTTATCATGTATCCTAAATTGATAAGGTAGAATCAGTGTATTTGATAGCATTTATTCTACTTCATTGATTTAGGAAGAAGTCAATGAAATTATCTTTCAGTAAAAAACTTAAAAGACCCACTTATAATGTATTACTGTTTTAATGATTTCTGTATTCATGGTAGTTGATTTGTTTCCAAATCAGTCTTTTTAAAGTTTAAAGTACTCTGAAATCTAAAATGTTACTTTTATGATTAGACTTTTGGTTTAAGATGTTTTTGATATGTTTGAAAAGTCATTAAAAATGACTGTTTGCCGGATGTATTAATGCATGTGTGTAATCCCAGTGACTTGGGAGGCTGAGGCAGAAGGCTTGCAAGTTTGAAGCCTCAGCAACTTAAGAAGGCCCTAAGCAACTTAATGAGACTCTGTCTCAAAATATAAAAAGGCCTGGGGATATGGCTCAGTTGCTAAGTGTCCCTTGGTTCAATTCCTAGTACCAAAACAAAAAGAATGATTATGTCTTAAAAATAAAATTGTGACATACTGAGAAGATTACTGGACTTAATCAGGAAAAGTGTTTTAGCTCTGATACTATTACCAAGTAATTTAATAATATTGTACAAAAGTCTGTTAAAAATCTCTGGAACTGGGGCTGGAGATGTGGCTCAAGCGGTAGCACGCTCGCCTGGCATGTGTGCAGCCCGGGTTCTATCCTCAGTACCACATACAAACAAAAGATGTTGTGTCCACCGAAAAACTAAAAATAAATAAATATTAAACTCTCTCTCTCTCTCTCTCTCTCTCTCTCTCTCTCTCTCTCTCTCTTTAAAAAAATCTCTGGAACTTAGTTTCATTATTTGCAAAGTGGAGGATTTTAACTATATAGTATCTAAATATCCTCTAGCTTCAGAATATGTTAATTTTTACTTAGCTCATATTTAATGTAATCTGTTCTTCTCTTTAGAATTTTTGAAAAAGATGAGCATATGCTTGTATTGAATAAAATCCCTCAAAGCACTCAATTATTTCTTCCTTATGAACCTCATAAATTAGTAAGACCAAAAAAGATGCATTCTTCAGAACCAAGAGTTACAGGTACAGAATTGTTTATTATTTAATAACTTTATTTGTTTGGGTTAAACCCACAGAAGGAGAAATAAAATAAATTTTAGTTATCATTTGACGTGAGCAAGAACAAACAATACTGGAGACTTAGACTCAGGAAAGTACTGCTTTGAGTTGGAGAACAAACAAGAAATGTCTTCTCTACATATTTTTTCCCTCTGAGAAGGAAACTTTTCACATAAAATGTGTTCTGGTTGGGTTGCTCAGCTGTCAGAGGAATATAAATAATTATATATTTTTATTTGAGGAATTATATTGTCATATGTATGACTTCTATGGGTAGCATACTTGTGTTAATAGTGTTTGAGACTTGGTCATTGAAACATTTGAATTAGATTTCATTCAAGGGTCCATAGATTAACTAGTTTAACTATATTATCTGTCTCCCCTCCATCATTACTATTATTACTTTGTCTTTTTTGGTTATGGATTCTAAAGCTACAGTTTTGCCAGTTGGTCATTTTATCATTTCATATTTAATTGCTATAATAGTGAATATAGAGTGATAAATTAAGAGATTTGATGTTTAAAATTGTGTATTTAAATTTAAATTTGATATTCATATAGACTTGATTGTCTAAATGATAAGGTTAGATTAAATGGTGGAGATGAGGGCCAGGGTTGTAGCTAAGTGGTAGAGTGCAAACTTAGTGTGCATAAGGCCCTGGGTTCAATCCTCAGTATGAGAAAAAAGTCAGAGATGATGTTTGATTCTATCTTCAGAATTGATTTTAAGTAGTATTACTTAATAATCTAGATAACAAAGAAGAATTTTCTGTGCAGCAGTCAAAGCTTGCCAACATTGACTTCAGACAAAAGGAAAAAGACCCACACGTAGGTATTTCTTTTTAATAATATAGATTAAATACTTGCTTTCATTAAATGAGAGTAATGTACTATACTTGAGACAGAGATGTGTGTGTGCAGGTGTGTGTTATAAATATATTAAATCAGCCATTAGCATAACCTTTGGGATCTAAAAAAATTTAAATTTGAATATGACATTCTGAATATAGACTATAATCTGCTCGATTGCCTTCAAAATAATGGAAAAAATATTTTAAAATACCAAGCCCTATATCTATTAAACCAAAAACTTGAAAAATCTCTGGAAGAAGAAACACTGATTGGATTGAAGAAGGAAATTATAACCTGAGACATGCATAGGATAATTCTGTTAACAAAATAGAGATCCAGGGACAATCAATAGGATAATTTGTTGGGCTCCTTCAGAGGGAGTTAAGTAACTTAACTCATGTTCATCTTTGTTTCTCTACTTTGCCTTTGGTCAGCCTCAGTAATGGGATGACTGACTCCAGGTGGAAGCAGTGAGTAAGGGAGCATGGGTAAGAGAAACTGGCTTGTGTCCTGGATGGTTCTTGATGCCTGTGAAAAATAAGGACTACACCAACCAAATAACTAACTGCTGATATTGCACATCTTTATTTTCCCTTGAAAACAGTCCAGAGGGAATTCCTCAATGAAAAAAAATTTGTCCTTTCAATGATTTGTAATTAATTCAGACACTAAAATGAAACTTAAGTCTTATAGAAATCTAAAATTACAGATGATTTTAATATGGGATGAAGGTAGATAAATGAGGAAAACAAATGTTTACCGATGTTTTTAATTTTTTGGTGGTGGAGGGGTAGTAGATGTAGGGAGAAAATATAAATGCTGATTAAGTATACATTCTGGAAAAATGTAAATTTATGTCTGTATGTCAAATATTTAAGAAAATCATCAGAAGAGAAATGGAAGGTGTAAATTTTTTAAAAGTAGAAGAAAAAAGATAAAAATTAGGTCAACAGAGTGGAAACAACAGTTAGCATTTAGATAGTAAACAAATAAGATGCTGGGAAAAGTTCTGAACAGATAAACAATCATAAAAATCTGACTGTGTTAAACCACTATTAGAAGACAGAGGTACTTGTATGGGATATATTTTAAAAATACAGTTACATACTATTAAAACAGAATAGCTGAAACAATTTTACAAATAAAGGCTAAAAATAAAAAATGGAAAGTATGTATCAGGCAAATACAAACAAAAAAGCAAATATAACAATATATAAAAATAACAATGTCATATTAAATGGAGTTTAAGATGAAAAGCATTAGCAAGGATATATATATTTCTTATTTTTTAAAGAGAACAGTTTATTGAGAAATCATAAAAACCATGTTGCACCAAATTATGCAAAGCAAAAATTGACAGAACATCTATCATAACAAAAACAATGAAATAAACTTTCCATTTAAGCCAGATATTTTTAGGGAAAATTAAAGGCTGTAAATGAACATAATAAAGCAGTGGCTTACATGTTAATATTAAAAAAAAATTATTTAAAATTAAAAATGAAGTATTAGCTCTTTCACATGTAAATAAAAAAGAAAGTTCAGGCTTCAATCTTTTAATTTGTTCTTTTACTTTTCTGTATTCCGTTTCAAAGGTTTTAGAGGATAGAGGGACACAGAGCAGATCATCATTTGAGAAATGGCAAGATTTTCTTAATTAGTTATAGTATGAAGGGAATAAATTTTAAAAAGATTTACCTTAACTGTTATAAAAATAGTTTATTATATTTATGATAAACATCAAATTCATTGAGGGTTTTGAATTTGTTTTCCAGTATTTGTATGTTTTATATGTAGTAGTTTCAGTTAATGTATATAAGCATTATATTGCTAATGATGATGATAAGGTTGAAATGCCAATGAAATGAGAGAAACTTGTATAGCTTTAGCAAATGTTTATTGTTATTTTTTTTAGTTTTATTGATTTTATTTTTTTTAAATACACAACAGCAAAATGCATTACAATTCTTATTACACATATAGAGTACAATTTTTCATATCTTTGTATACAGAGTATGTTCAATTCATGCCTTTTTACATGTACTTTTTTTTTTTTTGCATTGCAATTCTTATTACACATATATACTCACGGGTTTCTGTTTTCTCGACTAAGAGGCTCAGGGTTTACTCCAGTTAAACTGGGCTGACTGGGCTGTGCAAAATAACCACACAAGAGACACAAATACCTTTTTCTTTGGGGTTGCTGTGATGGCTCCTCTGACCTTAATGGTCCACAGGAAGAGAGAGAGCTTTTATTAAGGAGAAGCTATTCAAATGAGATAAGGGGTCAGGTTTTAGGGGGCTGAGTCTATCTTCATGATGTCCACTGTCAGCAGGTTGACTGACACCTGGGTAGGCCACACCCAAGGACACAGTAAGAGAAGGGGACACACAAGGCACTTCCATGGGAAGATTCTATCCTAAACAGGGCAAGGGGTTATATTACAAAGGAGCAGGTGAGCATAGTTTCACCTGTGGGGCTGTAGCAAGACACACCCATGCACAAGACACTGTCCCTGGAACCCAAGAAGAGTGGGCAAAGCTCTGCCACATTTCTGTGACTGAGCACCTCAGAACCCAGTCGGGAGTGTGACTCAGTCACATGTAAGGTTGGTCTCCCACAATATACCACAATTTTTCATATCTCTGTTTGTATATAAAGTATGTTGACACCCAATTCGAGTCTTCATACATATACTTCGGATAATGATGTCCATCACGTTCCATGGTCCTTGCTAATCCCCTGCCCCTCTTTTTCCCTCCCACCCTTCTTTTCTATCTAGAATTCATCTAATCCTCCCATGCTCCCCCTCCCTACCCTACTATGAGTCAGCCTCCTTATATCAGAGAAAATATTCAGCATTTGGTTTTTAGGGATTGGCTAACTTCACTTAGCATTATCTTCTCCTACGCCATCCATTTACCTACAAATGCCATGATTTTATTCTCTTTTAATGATGAGTAAAATTCCATTGTGTATGTATGCCACATTTTTTTTAATTTATTCATCCACTGAAGGGGCATCTAGGTTGGCTCCAAAGTTTAGGTATTGTGAATTGTGCTGCTATAAACATTGATGTGGCTGTGTCCCTTTAGTATACTGTTTTTAAGTCCTTTACGTATAGACTGAGGAGAGGGATAGCTGGGTCAAATGGTGGTTCCATTCCCAGATTTCCAAGGAATCTTTATACTGCTTTCCTTACTGGCTGTACCAATTTGTAGTCCCACCAGCAATGTATGAGTGTACCTTTCTCCCCACATCATATGTAGTCAATTCTAATGCTTTCTTTTTTTCTTTCAGGTATTTAATGATTCTGGTGCGAATAACAATTCAAAATGTTCACATGTTACTGATATTAAAAGTTCACAAAATTTTATGCAGTTCAGGTAATTTTTTAAAATAAGAAGATTCTTAAGAGGTGAGGATGTAGTTTTAGTGGTAGAGGACTTACATGGCATGCTACTAGGTCCTGGTTTGAATCCCCAACCCTACCTGCCCCCAATAAAAAAAAAACTTTAATTTCTGAAATTTGTGAATATCAATTCAAAATAATATAAAAATTATATGCATTGCATTTTAGACTGTTAACTCCTCAGAAACGATCAAACAACAATCAGTGGTTTGAAAAAAGACAAACAGGTATTTGCTATTCATATTTTTCCTAATAAATAAGGGTAATAAATTACATCAGTTTTTTATAGTAGAATTATTTGGATTGTTTACATCTCTGTATAATTGATCATGCATGCCTGGTTTTAAAACGTATTCCCTCTAAATATTAAGTAAATGTATTTTATTGTAGAAATTTTGAAATACAAAAAAATATAAAAAATACTACCACGCAGAAATAATGGACATGATACATACCAGTGTATATTCTTTTAGTCTTTTTTTCTATGCATATGTTTGTTTTGTTCTTTTACCCTCCAAATTTTAATTATACTATGTATATAATTTTGCATCATTTTTCCCTTCATGATAAATTATTGAGGTTATTTCAACATGTCATTAATTAGTTTTTATGTAATGACTGTATAATGTCCCATTGTGTGGATATGCCATTATTTAGCCATTCTTTAGCCATTCTTTCACATTGAATTCTTTTTGATTTCCTGTTTTTTACTATTATAAATAATGTTATTATATTTTTGCATTGATATATTAGTATCTTGGACAATTTTCTTTGAATAAAGTCACAGAAAGATCACAGTATATATGCATGAATTTATTATTCTCAAATGAGCTAGCTATTGAAACTTCATATCTTTGAAAATACTAATTTATTTTTCTCTCTCTCCATATACATTTCAATATGCATGTTTGTATAGTTATGTATATACATGTATACATGAATATATAAATATAAACATGAGTATATATTGTATATTAAGTGCATACATGCATACGTATTTTGGTAATCTAGTATTTCACAATAATTATTTAATTTATTATGCCATGTGGAAGTCTTTTTCTCTTCTTCTTGGATTATTGACTTTTATGTTGAAGTTTTAAAGATGACTTTTTCTGATCCCAGGAAAATTCTGTTAATGTATGCATTTTAGAACGATTATATACTTAGAGTCTTTTTCACTTACTCTTACTAGGAGATCCAACACAATATGTTTATTGTACACAAATGAATAGTCTCCTTGCTTTCTTCTAAGATAAAAACTTATCTTACCTATACGGGTGATCTGTTCTAGCTATTTATAATTCGCTCTATATACCAAACCAACAGTGTTAAACAAGGACAAAAAAATTAATCAAACAGTGCAGGGAACTGCATATCGCTGGCATAACTCTACCTGTTGTTGAGTATATATGATGAGGCTTCATACACAAGAAGTCATATAATTATTTTGAAATAAAAATATTTATTTCAATAATCTTTAGACCCCAAATTTGAAGAAATTAATATGTAATGAAAATAGTAATTTTTATTTAAATTCAGGAGACAAAAACAAGAAAGCTTTCAGAAGATCAGATAGAATAATATTGTCATGACTTCAATATAGAGAAAGATCTCTTAAACAGGAATTAAAAAGCCCAGTCATAAAAGAAAAATTGATGAATTTGGCCACATTAAAATTAAGATTTTTGTTTATCAAAAGATACCCTAAAAGAGTATCAGATGTATCATCAAGCCAGAGGATATATTTGCAATACAGAAAGCTCTAAAAAGAGTAATTTGAAAGTATATACAGAATTTTTACAAAAGAAGAAAAGACAACCCAATTAGAAATATATGCAAAATATGACTAGGTATTTTAAAAAGAGAAAGAAACGTTGTGGCGGATAAACATGAAAAGATACTCAGCAAATCATGGAACTGAAAAAAAAAAAAACCAAACCCACATTGAGTTATCATTACATGTTTACTGAATTAGCAAAATTCAAAATGTCTCACAATATTAAGTTTTGATGAGAATACAGAACAATAGGAACTTTCAAACTATTGGTAGGAATTGTCTTTAATAAATTAGAGCTAATTTGTCTGATGAGATTGAATGATTTCCAATGTGGTTAGTTGTCACAGTGGAAATTAGTACAACTACATTAGAAAAGGTTGGCATCTGGTCTTGAGAAAAGCACATACTCTATTCCTCATAATTTCCACCTCTAGGCATATACTTTAAGAAATACAAGTATATACATTCAATTGTATCAGTAAAGAATGTTATTATTTGTAATAATTTTAATGTGGAAACATCCTAAATACCCATTTGCAGTAGAATCTTTAGATACATAATGTCCTGTTTGTACAGTGGAATACTTTATATCAGTAAGAAAACTATATCATGTACTACAGAATGGATGAATCTCACAAGCATATTTTACTCAAACAAAAAAAGTAAACAAAAGCAAGAGATAGGACATATTTAATTTCATGATATAACATTTTAAAACAGGAAAATAAGATATGTTATTTAGATGATAAAACCATATGTAACAAATTAGGAAAAAATTATCACAAAAGTCTGGATAAGGGATTACCTCTAAGAGAAGGAGAATATAGGACCTTTTGGAGTGCTTGTGATGTTTTATTTCTTTACTTGATATGGTTATATGAGTGTTCTCTTTATAATTTTGTTTATTAAACTGTTTATATTATATTTTATTCTCTTATTTGTATATATTGGATTGAAATATGAAATTGCCATTTTGGTAGACTAACAGAGTTAAATATTGGCAATTTCATATGGTTAAACTAATGTGTTTTATTTTGTAATAAAATTGCAAAAAGAAAAACAGTTTGTTCTCATGTAACAGATGCTGAGTGTGGAGAAAAAGGGACAGTAAGACAATTAAGAGAATCAAAATGCACTTCACAAGTAAGTCAAATGTTTGATTTAACCATTCTAATTTTAAAATTTTGTGTCCATTTTAATTTTGGATTTAGTGCAATAAAGATTGTTTATGTGAGATTTTATTAGTTGCTAATCAGGTTTCTAGGAAGTTACAGATTCTATTTTTCAGATTCAAAAGCAAGGCCAAAAACATGAGAGAAGAATAGCGTTACCTTAGGGAAGTAAAGGGAGGAGAGGGGAGGGGATGTGGGAATAGGAAACACAGTAGAATGAAATATATATATCTGCATGACCAATATGATTCTACAACATACACACTCAGAAAAATGAGAAATTATGTCCCATCTATATATGATATATCAAAGTGCATAAATGCATTCTCCTGTCATTTATAACTAATTAAAACAAAACAAAAAGCCAAAAGGACTGGGGGTATAGCTCAGTGGTTGAGTGCTTGCTTAGCATGCTTAAAACACTGGGTTCCATTCCCAGCACCACTAAGAAAATAAAACAGAACAAGATGAAAACCAAAAGCCACAAAAAGTTTACACATAAATATGCAAAAATTTGTCATTAATAAGGGCTGATAAATTAAAATTTTAAAAAACTAAGTGCTGATATATATTGAGACTACAATTTGGTAAGATTAAATGATTTGTTGTGGCAGTCCAAGACCAGTAATTGCCATAAAAATGTCTGGAAAGTATTTTTGAATAGTGGGAAGCTTTATTTATGATAGATGTAGACAATATATTTTAAACTTTACCTGGATACTAGGGTTTAAATAAGAGAAACAATATAGTAGTATTATTCTGTAAGGAAATACAAATAATAAGTACATTTAAATTTTTTTTGTCAGACCCAAATTACTCTTTCCTTTCAAGGAGTTAGTATATACAATTCTTCATCTATACTACAGTCCTAAACATTATTCTTTATCAAGTTCAGTATTTTCTGGTTGTTATACTTTTCTCAAGTAGGAACGAGGAAGATGGAGCTGGAAAGAAAAGAAAAAATTGATCATTAAAATAATTATTGTTTGAATGGTATTTTAATATCACTTTTCCAGTTATCCTTATTTTACTTATCTGTGAAATGACTACAGATTAGTATGGTATTTTCTGTCTTGTGCATTTTTATATATGTCATTCTGTTACTGCAACGACATTCATTTTTAGTTTTCTGTTACTTTGAATTTGCAGCCTATACATACAGAACATTTTGGAAAGTCAATAGAAGATAATAGTGATGAAGTAGAAGAAAGGCCTGAGAATTTTCCACGAACTCCTGAAATTCCTATATTTTTAAAAACTCCTGAAGCTATGAAGTCACATGAATCTTTGGAGAAAATACAGTTTCCTAAAGCTCCCTCATTTGAAATGTAGGACTTTATTTGATAATTATAAGTAAATTATGCACTGAGTCATATAAAATTGATAGGAATAGTAAAATGACTTATACTTGTAACTTTAAAAAGTTTTTTTTAGTATAGAGTATTTCAGACATGCAGAGACTAGCATAATGAACTTCCAAGTACCTATCATCCTGTTTGAATTATTAATGTTCTGCTGTTCTTGTTTCACAGGTCTTCCTCCCCATTTTTCCTGCAGCGTTTAGCTGAAGATGATGTAGATCCTGAGTACTTACCCAGGGCAATACTATATACATTTAAAATTTTCCAAAGGGTTAAATTTTGTAGAGAAATTTAAAATGTTAAAGAGCTACTGCCATATTTGGAAGATTGTGGGCTTATCATTGAATAATGTTCCAGCAGTCATTTTCCCACGTGTTATAGTGTCTGAAGCAAGAATTGCCATTCTGCTTAGTAAGCTAGTTAGGCATAAATATCTCTAACGTGAATATTTATCTTTGAAAACTATAGATATATGGTTTGCATTCAAGAAAATAGTGCTACCTTTAAACATTTTCTTTAGTTCAGTCTCTTCCTTAATACTGATCCTTGAGGTTTTTCCAAAATATGTCAGATAGATTTCACTTTATCAGGGATATCTCACCTATATCCTACTTCTGTATTTTAAATTGTTAGAAAAGTTTTATATATGAATACTATGCTGTTGACCTCAAGCACAGCATGTTTAAAGTGAAACTCAACTTTAAATCTGAGAATTATTAAGGAATATCAGATTATATGCTAAAACTTCTCTCCATGGATGAGAAAATTATGATCTGTAAAGTTAAATGACTCATTCATGGTCATAGAGATAGTTTATGGAAGTATTGTTACACTTCATACATATATACACACACACACACTTTTTTTCTTTTTTGGTATTTGGAATTGTCTCCAAGGCCTTGTGAATACTAAGTACTTAATCTTCTGTTGAGCTATTCCCCTAGCCCCTATTATATTTTAAAAACAGTTACGTAACACTATCTGTGAGCCACTGTTATACGCACTTTAGACCATTTAATATTGATCATTTAATGTTCACAACAATCTTATACATTTTAGGTACATTATTATCATTATTTTTATAAATGAGGAAACATAATTATAGGTAATACAAGTAATAGATGTTAGAGTTGAGATTTTAAACCCAGGTAGTTCTGGTTTTAGAATCTATTCTCCTAACCAATGTGTTACACATTGTATTATCTATTTTTTCCGGATCATTTTACTATTTAACTCCCTGATAGAAACTTAGTAATGGCTGGCTTCTAATCCAGACACAGCTTGTTGGGGCTGGGGCTGGGGCTCAGCAGTAATGCCCTTGCCTGGTATGTGTGAGGCACTGGGTTCGATTCTCAGCACCACAGATAAATAAATAAGGTCTATCAAAAACTAAAAAAAAGAAAAAAAATTAAAAACAAAATAGACACAGCTTGTTACTGACTTTCAAGATCTTGAAGACTGTGTTGGGGTTAAGGGCTTGGACTTTGAATCTGAAGTGCTGAATTCAATTCTCAACTCTAGAACTTACTGTATTTTTTTGAGCAAATCATTTATACTTTCTGTGCTTAAAAATCCTTTACTGTAAAATTAAAGTGACTGAAATAATAACTGTATTATAGAGTTATTATGAGAAATAAGTTATGCTTATGGAAGTACCTAGAAGAGTGCCTGACAGAATATTGAATAGATATTCATAATAATTATCCCAAAGTTGATTTTCCATATTAGTCTCCTCCCAAACCATCTTTTCTTTATAGGTTGCTTCAATACTACTTCCTACCTTCCCTTCTATGCTAATTTTTACCCCCATGACATTGCTTGTGGTCAATCTTCAGTGTTTAGTGATAGATTTTTAACATTTTGATGATTTTTAAAAATCTCTTTGTAACAGAAATGCAGTACCTGAAGGTCAAACACAAAAAGAATCCTCTGGATTTTCATTTCTTACAAGTTATACTTCTAGATCACCTAGACTGAATTTATTTGATTCTTCTGTATTTGATTCAGAAATTTCATCAGATCAGGTAAAATGAGAAACTAAAGTTGATTTCTAAAAATTGTACACTGAAACTTTGGGGTAATTTTATTTCCTTAGTACCAAACTATCCTGGGACAGAGTACCAGTAAAGGCAATTAAAAAAAAAATCTGGGTAGCTGTAGTATAGCAAAGTTCCCTATTATCTTTTTGCTCTTAACTTTAGATGCCCCAAATTCACTGTATTTATTTTTTTAAATTTCAAGATAGGGATGATTTAAATTTCAGTTAAGGGCAATTTGAAATGAATTTGTCTTTTTAATTAATGTACCTACTAAACAAACTACATATTTTGAAAACAAACTTTACATATTATCAATGAACTTACAATGGCTTCATGTTTTGTCTTTTCAACTATGTGTGTGTACATGGCAACATTATCATTGGTTCATTTTAAAAGACCGAAGGAATTTCCTGCATCAACATTGCTACTATTCAGTGGAAATGCTTATTTGTGTATTTAGTAATTAAGCCCCAAATTAAGACATGCTTTATTTGAAAAGTAGAGACTATAAATTTGTGGTTAAAACTAGACTCTGAAGCCTGATTACTTGAGTGTATACTATATGTAAGATTTTGGGTAACTCTCAGTTTCCTTATCTGTAAAATGAAAATAATTATCACCATAAGGTTTGTAAATATTTAGGTGAGTTTATGCACATAAAACATTTAGAAAAGTTTCAATCACTTAATAATACCATATAAGTATCAATGTAATATAAGTATTATTACTTATTTAAATTAGTCATATTTAGCCGTTTTTTATATTTATTAGAATTTTTATTACTGTGTTCCTTGTACTATATTAAGTTGTTGAAATTATAAGTTTGTTGATGATATAGTAGTATACATTTCATATTTTGTTTCTTTTAACTTTGGTCTCAATTTTACTTAAATACTTACTTCAAAAACTAGTGGGGCTGAGGATATAGCTCAGTTGGTAGAGTGTTGCCTCACATGTACAAGGTCATGGGTTCAATCTCCAGCACCCCAAAAAACAACAACAAAAAATTAGTAATCCCTAGAAAAGTACATTAGAAAAATAGATTAGAGTTACTAAATTCTCATTTACATTAATACTATGAATGTTAAAATAAGTGTATATAGATAACCTCATCAGGGGACATATACATTTTGGAAACAGAAAAACTACTGAAAATTATTGAATATATAACATGATGTACTTGTTTAGAAAGAAAATATTATAAAGATAAATTCCCTCTCAAAATAATTTATAAACGTAATCCATTATGGATCTAATTAAAGTCCTGGCAAGATGTCTTTAGTTTTTGTTATGTTTTGTTTTTGTGGTGGTAGAGCTGGGGAAAGAGATTGACCAAATAATTACTGTGTGTCCTGGGAGAAATGTATTCAAGAATAAGCAAGAACATTTTCAAAAATAAGGTTGGTGATAGATTAAAATAGAATTCTAAGAAAAAGTTTCATCCAAAAGAAGGCAAAAAAGAAGGAATGGAGTGACAAAAAACAAGGGAACAAAATAAGTAGCAATATGTTAGACCTAATCATGAACTTTTAAATGATTTTTTAATATGAATGGGTTAAATACTCCATTAAAAGGCAGAGACTATAAGAATGCATAAAAAAAATAAATTGAATGTGGTGGTGCACTCCTGTAATCACAGCTATTTGGGAGGCTGAGGCAAGAAAACAGAAAGTTCAAGGCCAGACTTGGGAATTCAGTGAGATTCTGTTTTAAAAATAAAAAAAATAAAAAGGGCTGCCAGATGCAGTGGCGCACACATGTAAATCCTACTGGCTTGGGAGGCTAAGGCAGGAGAATCTCAAGTTCAAAGCCAGCCTTAGCAACAGTGAAGTGCTAAGCAACTAAATGAGACACTGTCTCTAAATAAAATATAAAATAGGGTTGGGAATGTGGCTCAGTGGTCAAATGCCCTTGAGTTCAATCCGTGGTACTCCCCTCCCTAAAAAAAAAAATGGTCATGATGGCCATATTGATACCATTTTTGGTAGTCTTGAGATTCAGAGTATTACTGAAGATAAAAATGGTTCAGAATGGTAAAAAGTCCACTTTATAAGGAAGATACAACAATCACAAATGTGTAACTGTGCCTAATAACAGCTCCAATATACATAAAATCAAAGTTGTCAAGTACTCAAGCATAGTTGGAAGTTTTTAATACCCTTTTATCAGCAATTGATAGAATCACACAACACAATCAGATCTTCTGTAATATCTGTATACAGCATCAATCCCCTACACCATTTTTAAACACTGTATCCCACAACTGCCTCATACATGTTCTTTTCAAGTGCTAATAGTACATTCACCAAGATCAACTATATTATGGGCCATAATAAGAGTAAAGGAATTTAAAAGCATTGGAATTAGAATGTGTTAAATTAGAACTCAGTAACAATAAGATATCTAGAAAAATCCTAAATATGTAGGTCATGAATCAAAGAATGAATCATGAGAGAAGTCAGAAAACATTTTGAGCTGAATTATTATGAAAATTCAGTTTATCAAAAATGGTGGGATGGGCTGGGGATGTGGCTCAAGCAGTAGCGCGCTCGTCTGGCATGCGTGCGACCTGGGTTTGATCCTCAGCACCACATACAAACAAAGATGTTGTGTCCGCCAATTACTAAAAAATAAATATTAAAAATTCTCTCTCTCTCCCTCTCACTGTCTCTCACTCTCTCTTTTAAAAAAAATTGTAGGATGCTGCCAAAGCCAGAGCAAAACTATAACTTTAAATAATTTAGTTAAATAATTACGTTAATAGAAAAGAGGAAAGATTTAAAATTAATGACCTATATTGAGAAACTAGAAAAAGAGCAATGAAGCAAATCCAAAGTAAGTAGAATGAAGAAATAAAAAAGATGACATAACTGAAATAGAACAAATAAATAAATAAGAATAAACAAAACCAAGGATTGTACTTTAAAATAATTGACAGAATTGATACATTCCCATCTAGATTGACAGAGAAGGAAAGATAGTTATTAAACATGAGAGAATATCATTACAAATACTATATATTATGAAATAAATTGGTGAAGGGAACTTCACTTTTTACACATTAAAACATCCCTATATAAACTTAGAGTATATCAAAATGGTGTGATATAAGGATTGAAAGAATGATATTTGGTATGGGTTAAATAGTCTTGATACAAAAGAATTTAGAATATGATAAAGATGGGACCATTCAGGGATAAATTAGACACTCAACTTACACTGTACGCCAGTAAATTTACAGATGAATTAAAATAAATGAAAAAATATTAACCATAAAATACTTCAGAGGAAATATAAGTTAATATTTACTAGACCTCAGAAGGATGGGTGCTCAAAGCATAAAAGCAGTGGAAGAAGAACCAAAAGAAAAAGCAATTAAGTTAATTTCATTCAGACTTCCAAGTTAAAAAATTGGACAGGCAATATGATAAAAGTATAAAAATAATTAACATCTTTATTATATTAAGACTTAAATTACTGGGCTGGAGTTGTAGCTCAGCGGTAGAGTGTTCGCCTAGCACGTGTGAGGCCCTGGGTTGATCTCGGCAACACATAAAAACAAGTAAATAAAATAAAGGCATTGTGTCCAACTACCCCTAAAAAATAAATATTAAAAAAATTAAAAAAAGAACTTAAATTACTACCTCAGTATAGAAATGGGCAAGATCCATTTGGTGAATAGTCCCCTGAAAAAGAAAATTAAATTACATGATTTATGGTAAAACAGTTTTTCTTATTAATTGTTAAAGAAATATGATTCTGTGCTTAAATGTTTTAAGTGTGGTGTTTATAATTATAGAAAAATCAAAACAACCTAAATGTTCAAAATAAATGAATAATTGAAATAGTACAGTATGTCTGTATGGAGGAATATTATACGCCACAAAGAGGTTTCAGAAGAATAGTAACGTGGTCATATGGTAATATTAAGATAAAAAAAAGGACAAAAAAACTAAGCCATCATGAAAACATTTTTAAAAGCCCATCTTACTGAGAAAATAGACTTTTTTTTTTTTTTTTGCAGCAAAATTTGATCTGAATGGACATGAAGCTGTCAGCATCCTTTTACTTTCATAGTCAGCAGTACTAAGACCCTGATTTGTTAAAGACCTTCAGAATCAAGCAAGTTTTATTAGGATTTAATGTTATAGTAAGATCCTGAAGTAGGAATTATCCTTAGTGCAATACATATTGCCTATTAATTCTTTATCTATTGGTATAGTAAAATTAGTAGGCCTTATTTTAATAAATAAATGACAGCTTTTGAAGACAGAACACTCCCCCCACCTCTCTTCAGTTTTGGAGATTGAATCCAGGGCCTAACATATTCTAGGCAAGCACTGTATCACTGAGCTACATCCCCAGCCTAAAAATACAACTTTTTTTTTAAAAAAAAAATACAGTAGTGTGCTGTATAGAATATTACTATATGCTTACTCTAATGCTGCATATTAGAAGTTCCAGGCTTTGGATTCAAATACAAATACTATGTATGTTTTTCTACTGGTTTGACAAGTAATATTTTATGGAAATTATTTTCCAGCTTAATGAACATTATTCTGAAGCAAATCTAAATCCTCCCTCATCACAACAAGGAATTGGTAAGTGATTTACTACTTATAAAAACATGCTAACTTTCCCCCTTGGCATTTTAGTTTGTTTCTAATAGATTTTTCTAGGCATTCAGTTTATTCTTTAAAAAATTACTCTTGACTTCTATACTATTCACTGCTTTTATTTTTAGCAATGTAGCGTGATTTTTTCACTGCGTTGACAACACTTGCTTTCTCCAAGATTACTAATAACTTCTGAATTTTCAAACATTATGAATATTTTGCATTGTTTATCATATTCAGTCCCTTTGCAGCATGATATAGTTGACTGTTCATATCTTCTTTCTGGACTCTTTGGATTTCTTCCTATCTCTCTGTGCTTACTTCTTATTGCATTTTCTTTCTTTTATTCTTTTATTGGTTAATCTGTTCAAAATATAAATAAGTGTGTGTATATATTATATTGTTTTATCAGTTACTACTTTGGTTTTGATGATAGAACAGTGGACAAATATGCAAAATTCTCATAGGGTTTGTGTTCTAGTGGGAGAGACTGAAGATAGACAAGTCAATATATAATATATCAAGTGGTACATTAAACAACAATTGGCAACTGATCATATGTTGTGATTTTTAATTCAGTATTTAATTTACTCTATAGCTAACAAGGATGATGCCAAGGTTTGACAATACTGTAAGAATTTATTGAAATGTGAATGGCTTAATAAGAGGAGGAATAAGAAATAACATGGGTACAATCATCAGATACCCAAGTAATAATCTTACTTCTGCCACCTCATCCATGTGAAAGATTTCAGGCAGCTGTGGATAAGTTATATTGCATGTAGGTTGCCTTGACACACAAAAGCTGCAGCCTCAGTTTTCAGCAGGCTCTTAAAGAAATCTAGTCATGAGGCCCAAGACCTATACAACTCTTCTAATTCAGGTGTAATTTCACACAGAACAAGTAATGCTGTAGACTCAGCATTCCATATCTACCTTAATTCTGTATTTTCTAAGGAGACGGTGCTGTGAGAAATCAGACTCCAAGATCATTCTTCTAAGTGGGTCTGAATCAATCTAGGCTTGAGGTTAACTCTGTACTTATTGGTTGTAATTAATAATATAAATAAAGGTAAAGCAGAATAAGGGGAATAAGAAGAACTTGGATTGAGAAGGCAGTTGCTGTGTTACGAGGGAGTCAGAGAAGGCAATCATTAAGAGGTGACATTTGAGGAAAGACATGAAGGAGGTGTAGTACAAGCTACTGGGAAAAGCTTTCCAAGTGAAGGATGAAAAGTTGAGATAGGCACATACTCAGTATGTTCAATGAACAGCAGGTAAATTGGTATTAACTGGAATGGAATAAGGAAGGAGGAATTATGTAGGAAGATTAAATCAGAGAGATTGGAGAGGGAGCAAATTGTGGGACCTATAGACTGTTCAGATCTTTGGAAAGTGAGATGGGAAACCATTGGAGGGTTTTGAGCAAAGGACTGAAATGATCTAACAGGCTTTTAAAATATTACTGTCTGCTATATGGGGAACAAATAATGGAAATGAGTGAAAACAGATTAGGAAGCTATTAAAATAATACAAGTAAGAATTGGTGATGGCTAAGATAATGACAGTAGAATTGGTAAGAAGGAATGGGATTTTGATTATCAATTTTTCTGAAGATAGATCTGAAAGAATTTGTCTATCACCTTTAAGGATGAGAAGGAAACAAGGATGATGCTAAGATCTTGACAACAATAACTAAGAATGAAGTTGTAATGAAAATATTTTTATATCTAAGATATGTTTTAACATTAAAAACTCACCATATCTGAAATCAAATTTGTTCTTTTAATGTCCCTAATGTTATCTCCATTATTGTGGTGGCCAAAATTCAGTAATAATTTTAACTTGTCCTTGTGACTTTGACTAAATTCAGCTAATCAAGTTTTATCAGTTCTTCCTCTGAAGTACTTATTTCCTTTTTCTATATTAATCAAAACTGTTATATTTCAAACTCTAATAACTATTCACAGTGCTACTGTAGTCATATCTTAATTGGTCTTTTCATCTTCTTAGCTTACCTATACATCACAATTTAAATAATCTTCCTCATGCCTAATGTTGATTTTGTAATTGCACTAATCAGATGCTTTTGGTGGCTCTCCATCAACTCAAATTATTTTCCTACTTTTCTAACCTAGCTCCAACATACCTTTCAAGCCCTTTCCCTTGTAAGAGTTACCCATGCTTTGGCTAGACTGAAGAATATAGTGCCAGATAAGCCATATTTTCTTATCTGCTTTTTTTCTTCTTGTAATCTCCAACTTCCATCTCTAACCATCTTTCAAGACTAAGTTCTATTCCATAAAAACCTTTATTTTCCCTAACCATCTTTCAAGACTAAGTTCTATTCCATAAAAACCTTTATTTTCCCCTCAACCTTGCATTCCAAAAAGACTTCTTTTTCATTTTTGTAAATGTTTCTTCTTCTTCTTCTTCTAATTCTTTTTTTTATAATGCTGGGGACTGAATCCAAGGCCTGTGAATGTGAGGCAAGCACTCTACCAACTGAGCTATATGCCCAACCCCTTTTTTATACTTTTAAATATTCTACCTCCTATCATTTGTTATTTGTGTGTGTGTGTGTGTATATATATATATATATATATGAAATACTCTCTGGATTTTTGGTTCTTTAAGAGCAAAAACCTGTTATATTCACTTCTGAATTCCTTACAGCACCTAGAATCCTGCCTTGCATAGCAATCTATATTTATTTACAGTGAACATAGTTTTATGAAGCCCACATATAATCTTGTGAAATTAAAAAATGAAATCAAATTTATTTATGCAAAGAGTTATTCAAGATTTTAGTTTTTTCTGGATCTATGTCTAAATTTTCTTTTTAAGATTTATGAGTGTGTGCTGAAGACAGTAGAATAAAATGAGAAAGGGAGAGAAACAAAACATAACTGTCTGGTAATCAGTCCATCCAGTCATTCAGCCATTTTAATTGCTAGTTGGCTTATTTAGAGTAAAATAACTGAGATATTAAAAAATATAAGAAAACTTCAAAGTGGTACAAAGTAATTTCTTTTGCTTAATGTACTAGTTGATCAGTTCTCTATGGAAAAAATATTAGGTGCCTTAGGAGACTTGTTTTAGGTAAATCTTTCATTTATTGTAGAGTTAATAATAATTTATTTTAAATTTAAGATGTTGACAATTTTAATATTTATAGTTTTCAATAATATAATGATGAAAACAGTATTTTTCTTTAGTGGAAATTCAGAGAGTCAAACACCAAATAATTCTATACATAAAGTTGATTTTTGAACAATGCTATTAGTATATATTGTAATTAGTCAATAAATAATGGTTGGATAAGTTTGACTTATGCAGTGTCTCTCAGATCTAACATTTTTTCTCTCTATTTTCATTGCTATGATAGTTTAGGTAAGGTCAGTTTTCACCATCTCTTTGCTGGACAATAGAGTTTTTTCCTTTTGGTTTTCTCCACTTCTAGACACTTCTGTTCCAGCCTTTCTACACTTCTCTCCTGAAGAATTCTTATAAAACAATTTATTTAATATCATATTGTATTTGATAATGCCTAATGTTTTCCTGTTGCCTACTAAATAAAGTCCTGGTTCTCTAGTGAGACATTCAACTGTCTTTCCAAGCTCATCTTTATTAATTCCTGCTTAATATATCATTATTATTTCTCAGTATCTTGCCAAGTTGAACTGATTTCTGTTACTCTAATACTTCCAATGCCTATTTCTGGGCCTCTGTGCTAGTCTCTTCATTTGAAGTGTTTTACTACACCTTCTACCACATATAGTAGTTCTTTATTTACTTGAGTTCATATTACTTACAAGTTGGGTTTATGTTTGAGTCTGTTTATCCTTCCATAGTGCCAAGAATAATGCCTCACATGTGAGAAGAATACATTTAAATATCTGTTAAACAGGTAAATAATTCAGTGGTACTATATTTATTGTATACATTGTATTGTAATCCTCTAGGTTATATGCATTCCATGTAACACGGATAGCATGATCTTGTAATATTTGTCTTCCTCAGGAAATTTATTTGGGAAACCAGAAGGAGAAGACACCTTTACATTTTCTTTTTCATCAGACACTTCAGCTCATACATTTGGAACTGGAAAAGATGATTTTAGTTTTCCCTTTTCTTTTGAACAGGATCAAACAATACCTTCTTCTTCATTAAAAGGTTTTTCATCTTCCTCACAAAATACGGCACAATTTACTTTTTTTTGAACTAGTTATTAATTTTTGAATTATTTTAATATTTTATAATCATCTAGGGCATAAATTTACATTATTACTAAAAACTGAAGATACTCCTTTTTTGGTGATGAAATGAAATGGTTTACCATAGTGAAATTATTTGATTATATTAATTTAAATATTTAAATATTGAATATTTTTTATTTATGACATTAGCTAGTCATTTATTTTGGTTTTGATTTTGCAAGGCATACCCAGGCAGAACTTTTGTTAATCTGAGTAAAATTTGATACTTCTTCCATTACTCTTTATTATAAATATAAATCTGTTTATTCCTGGAGTCCAAATTTCATTCTTAATGGTATTTTAGTTGTTTTCATAAGAAGAATTCCTGAGGTCATCAGAAGACTTTTTAGTGGCAATTGTTTAGAATTAGTGCTCGGGTATACTATAGCAACTAAACATTTTTTTTTTAACAATTATTGGGTTTCACTTATGCATCAGTGTTCTAGAATGTGAATGGTATTCTAATAATCATTTCATAGAATTTATTATTGACAGTGAATGAAATCTCTGTTGTTTTCTCTTAAATACAACAAATAGTAAATTTCTAATTTTATCAGTTATTTTTTCTATCTTTAATGGAAGAAAATTGTATGAGAAAGACTATTTTCTGAAAATTGAGTTGTTGTTATCAATGGTGTTCCTGCTTTTTGTTTAAACCTTTTTTGAAGAACATTTAAAACTTTATTCCCTGTCTTCAACAGAAAACAATTTCATACTTATATTTTGTATTTTCAATTAATTATATATAACTTAAATCAAGATGTTTAAAATTTTCTGAAATTATGTAAATATTGTACAATATCTTGTATTTTGGTGCTTTTTAAATTGGTTGTAATGTCAAGTAATAAAGAGTATAACTCCATATTTGATGTGTAACTGCTGACACATTTTTAAACCTTATTTCTTCTGATTCCCCTTCTTTCCCACATCTGGTCAAACTGATAAGAAAATCTAGGGGCTATCTCCTTTGGTGTCAGTAACAACTGTACAAGAACTCTCACCCCAGCTTCACCCCTAACCACCTTAAAAACCCATAAGCAGTCTCTTTTCTTAGGCCATTTTCAGATCAACATGGAGGCCTGCCCTCCCCTCCCCATAAAATCTTGTTATGTGAGTAGAAAATCTTTTCATACCCTATTTGAGTGGGGATGTGTGGCATCATCAGTCTCAATATGCAAACCACATTTGGGTGAGGGTCTATACTGTTTCATCAGATATCCAAAACATCACAATTGTGTTAAATTAAACCTTCCCAAAGACTTGTAAAAAAGGCTAATCTAACTAATGATAGGATTTTTAAAACTTTAGACTGTGTTAAGGAAAAAAAACCCACAAATCTTCAACTGATTGGAATATTAAAATTCTAGTTAAAAAGCTGAAATTTGGGGCTGGGGCTATAGCTCAGTGGCAGAGTAGTTACCTAACCTGAAAGGCACTGGGTTTGATCCTTAGCAACACATAAAAATAAGCAAACAAAGCCGTTCTGTCCATCTACAACTATAAAATTTTTTTTAAAGCTGAAGTTTTTCTTTTCATATTAGGTATTTATTTTATAACCCCATGATTGAATTAATTGGTGGTTTTGATATAATAAAGAAATTGACAATATATGAGAAAGGAGAAAAAAAGTTGAAATTGGTTTATTTGTTGTTTATTAAGAAATTCAAAACTGGTTTTTAGCCTTGAGTGACTTAGTGAGTCTATGGTTTATTTTTACTTCAGAGAATATCTAGCACAGTAGTGTAGTTAAATTATGCATCAATAATTGGCAGAAAATAAATATTTTTGGTTTTTGTTCTGCAGTACTAGGCCCTGCACATGCTAGGCAAGTTTTCTGCCTCTGAGCTACAAACCAGCCTCTAAAATAAGTACTTTAAAATATCTGTAGTGCATATGGCAACTTGGGAGAATATAAAATGTCTGGAAAACATAGTCCTACATTCAGGTAACTTAGAACTTGGTTGAGACAAAACTCAGAAAACAACAAAAGTACATTACAATAAAGTTATAATTAAATCCTATGGTTTGTAACTTGTTCTGTGGTAGAGAAGAAACCAGTTGCTTTAAGAATTAGAAAGGTCATCGTGACCTGGAAAGCTGGAAGGATTCGCTGAAGAGGTAGAATTTTAAATATATTTTTTTTAGTTGTAGATTCACACAATACCTTTACTTTGTTTATTTGTATGTGGTGCCAGGGATCCGAACCTAGTGCCTCACAAATGCTAAGCAAGTGCTCTACCACTGAGCTACAACCCCAGCCCAAGAGGCAGAATTTTAATTGGGACTTTGAAGGTATGTAGATTGTAAAATTTGTATGTGAAAAGCTAATGCATTTTTGTAGACTTTTTTTGATTGTGATACTGGGCATTGAACTCAAGGCCTTGCATATACTAAGTACATTTTTTACCACTGAACTACTCTCCAGCCCTGAATTGAAGCCTTTTTCAGCTTTGCATTTTTTTAATTGTTGAACTCTAATGGCGAATATTAGGTAGGATTTCATTAAGCATTTATTGACTTAATATAATTAAACTGAACTGGTAAATATGACAAAAAGAGCTTTCTGGGTAAATAAAATACTATGAGCAAAAGAAAAATGGAATTACAAATTAACTATGTGTGGAGGAAATTAAAGAACAGACCTAATTAGAGTACAGGATAATAGGAAATTGAGTTTAATATATATGATAGGACTGATTTATTGAGAATCATGAAGCGTATTGATTTCTGAGGCCAAAAAAAGGAACTTACATATTAAATGCCTGATCTGCAAGAGAAAAAGAATGGCTAAGGAAGATTAAACTGATAATACAGTCAGAGATGGGAGAAATTAGAATTAGATAAATGAATTTGGAGTCATTTGCAGTGGTCCAGGTCTGTGGTGGTATGTTCCAGGTAATGATATTTTTGCAGTTTGATACCACTGATACCTAAAATTGGAAAATTATATCTTAGTTAAAAGAAATCTATTTGATAGAATTCCATCTGGGTATAAGAGAAAAGGAGAAAGGAACCAGAATTGTTTAGTTGTGTTTGATATAATAGGTCATCCAGTTAATGGGGGCACATGCAATTTCCTAATACAAATCACAAAAATAACTTTTAATCAAACTTCTAAAGATAATTTTTTTTAAAAAGTATTCCTCTAAAATCAATCAAATCTGCTATCATTTTCAAAATAGGAATTTATGTCCACTTTTATTTAGATTTTAAAATTTGTGGTCTAGTCCCAGAGCTTCCTAATGCATGTAGAAGAAAAATCAATACTGTTTACTAATTATCTTTAAGGAAATAAAGTATTTTAATATTAGACTAATTTTGGCTCTATATGATAAGAAAAAAACTTTCTAAGAATATAAGAGAAATACTCCAAAATTAATCAAGTCTGATTTATTCTCAAGGGAAGTATATGTCTGAGCATGCAACAGCTTCTGGGGTATCACTGCTTCTCAATGAACAGAGCTAGGAAATGTATGTATGCATACTTACCTATGTATAAATACACGTTTGTTTGTGTGTCTTTTATCTATCTGATAAAAATAAAGCAAAACACAAATTTATGCTGAAAGCTCAAGCAATATGAGATTGATTTTATGCTAGGTTTAGATGCTGAGTGTACCCAAATGTCATATGTTAAAGACTTCGTTCCCTGGGTAGCACTAATGTGATGGAACTTTTAAGAGTGGGAGGTTCTTGCTAGGTATGGTGGCACATGCCTGTAATCCCAGTGATTCAGGAGGCTGAGACAGGAGGATAGTGAGTTTAAATTCAGCCTTGCCAACTTAGTGAGACCTTGCCCCCAAATAAAAAAATATTTAAAGTAAAAATATAAAAAAATATATAAAGGGCTGGAGATGTGGCTCAATGGTTAAATGCCCCTGGGAATCCCTGGTACAAAAAAAAGAAAGAAAGAGTGGGAAGTTTTTATGTTATTGGGGGCATGTCCTCAAAAAGGATTGTGGGACCTTGATCTATTTTTCATTTTCTCTCTCTCTTCTTGTTAGAGATGTGACCATTTGCCCCTACTTGCACTTCTGCTATGATGTGCCACTATCTGCCACCCTTATCAGAGACCAAACCAATGCTTCCACCACCTGATCTTCAACTTTGGACTTCAAAGCTATAAGTTAAATAAATATTTTCTCTATAAATTAGTCTCAGGTATTTTGCTGTAGGAATGCAAAGCTGACTAATATATTCTAGTATTCTCCTTTTATTTGTAACTGTTTTATCTGATAGCAAGAAACCTAGATGTTATCTACAATATATGAATATATTCTTGTTCAGTTCTAGTGTACATACATAACACATTTTGTAATCAACAAAATGTATCAGCTACTACATATTAATTTCCTGTGGCAGCTATAGCAAATTACTGTAGCCTTTCTGAATTGAAACAACAGAAAGTTGTTCTTCCACAGTTCTGCAGACCAAAGTCCAAGGCTGGAATCAAGATGTCAGCAAGGCCATAATTTCTCTGGAGGATCTAGAGAATCACTTGAGCCTGGAGTTCAGGGCCAGCCTGAGTAACATAGCAAGCCCCTTTTCTTTAAAGAAAAAAAATTAATCCCATCTAAAAACATCTTCATAGCAAAAAATAGAATGGTGTTTGACCAAACAACTGGGTATAGACCAAGTTGACATAAAATTAGCAATCACAGACAACATTTCAAAATTCTCTGTTCCACCTTCTTTAGTCCTCTCTGCATATGAAATCTCCCTCTGCTTTCCTTTTGTAAGTACACATGTGATATATTTGGGGTCCATCTAGATGGACAATTAGATAATCTTCCTATCTCAAGATCCCACTTATTTCAGTATAAAGTAACATTCACAAACTCCAGAGATTTGATTCTGAATCTTTGCAGGGTACATTTATAGCCTATGACACAGGGTGTAGTATTTGTATACTTCCTTTTGGTCTTTAGTCTTTTTTTTTTTTAATTGTAGTTGAACACAATATCTTTTGCCAATGTCTTGGCTGGGCACAAGATCACGAGCCACCACACACCTTGTAGATTCAAACAGCAATTCTTTATTCCCGAACTCACACCGGCCTCTACAAACACGTTCTGGGGAAATCCAAAATCTCCCAGCCCAATTCACCTACTCCACGAGGCTTTTTTTCCAAATCCCATTTTCATCTCACGAGAACTCAACGGGAACAAGCAGCAGGAACACCCTAATCCCAGCAGCAATAATCTTCAACCTCCAACTTCCCTAAAACCCAATTGTCTTAAACCGGGAACGCCCTAAACTCAAGGAGCGGGATACTTCCTCAAACCTGATCAGCTCTAAACCCGGATCCGCCCTGGTCCTTGAGCAAGGTCACCTTACATGCAATGTCAACAGCGAAATTTCAAGGCAAGTCCATTTAACATGGGGTACGCTGGCAAGGAAATTTCGATGCGTTATTCCTACTTGGCAATGGCCCTCAGCAATCTTTATTTATTTTTATGTGGTGCTGAGGATTGAACCCAGGGCCTCACACTTGCAAGGCGAGTGCTCTACTGCT